TGTGTGTAGGAGATGCTGTTAATCATGAAGTCAATCTACGACATGATGGGCAGGTACACTTACCCCTGTGTGCGAGATGAAGCTCCATCTGAACATGTGGAAAAGTTCTTCCAGGTATCAGTAACAAGCACATTTATATGAAGACTCAAAAACAATCATACCAGAGTATTAAGATCTTCTACACTTACTACATTTTCTTATAGAAAATGGACAGAAATCGAGATGGTGTGGTCACTATTGAGGAGTTTATTGAGACCTGTCAGAAAGTAAGTTGAAATGAGTGTTTACTCACAAATTTCGGTGTAAATGGTTTAAAAAACATTCTTGAATAAATGATTGCATTCAATTCAATGTAAAAATGTATATGTATTATTTGTAAGAAACATTCTTTAAATGATCATATTCCATGTGAAAATTGCATAAATAGTTAAAAAAACAAATAAAATGTTGATCACTTTTAATGTGAGAATTTACAAGAATTACTCATAAAATGCATATGTATCACCTTCAGTTTAATGCAGTCTTAAATACATTATATGGTAACACTTTACAATAAGGTTCATTAGTTAGCTACATTAGGTAACATGAACTAATAATGAACTGCACTTATACAGCGTTTATTCATCTTTGTTAATGTTAATTTCAACATTTACTAACACATTATTAAAATCTTGTTAACATTAGTTAATGCACTGTGAACTAACATGAACTAACAATGAACATCTGTATTTTTATTAACTAACGTGAGCGTAGATTAGTAAATACAGTAACAAATGTATTGCTCATGGTTAGTTCATGTTAGTTAATACATTAACTAATGTTTAACTAATGAACCTTATTGTAAAGTGTTACCCATTATATAACTATTTTTATGTTAATTATCACATTTAATTAAATAAAAAAGTTAATAGTTTTTTAAAAAACATAGTTAGTTACATAAATTATTACTTACAATGCAAACATTTACATGAACTGTTCTTAAAATCATTCTTCTGTAAATCATTACATTTAATTCAGTGCAAAAAATGTGAAACCCTTTTTATGGCAATTATCACATTTAATTGAATGTTCAAATTACATAAATAGAAATAAATCCATCGTTATGTACATGATCAAATTCAGTCCAATGTGAAAATTTATGGAAATTACTTTTTCCAATTACTTAGATTTTCATATGTACATTTTTGCACTCTTTAATTAAAAATGTACGTAAAATGTATAGCCATTTTTAAACAATCACATTGTATTTAATGAAAAAATTTATGTAAATAGTTTGTAATGCCATAATTTATTGCAATAATTTCAAATGTGAATATTAATAGTTCATAAAACCATTTTTACATAAATGATCACAGTCATGTTCTTAAAATCATTCTTATTTAAATCTTATTTAAATCTATGTAAATTACATAAACATTCAGTTCTATGTGAAAATTTGTGTTTGGTTCATAAAACAACATTTGACTTTTTCATACCATATTTGAACTGAACATGACCGTGAATGAGATTTCATAACTATGCGAAAGCAAACTGTCTCTTTAAGGTTGATGCCGACTATTTCAAACAGTCCTAACTGATTCCTCTTCTGCTTTCCAGGACGAAAACATCATGAACTCCATGCAGCTCTTTGAAAATGTGATTTAGGACAGGAGTGGAGCGATCTAAAGCTAAAACAGCCCTCAATGTCCCAATCCAGTCCCCTCCACATGTCTATATACCAAACTAGCACAGCAGTCACTCTCTGTCTTGTCCTGTAGCACTACTCCCATGCCTGCTGCACTCCGTAGAATCATATAGACCAACACATAGCCTACAGTATGGCATCACAGTTTGTACTTCACAGCAGGACTACTTTTAAAAAGAAAAGCCTGGACGGCCGGGATCCTTCCAGTTGCTAGATACCGGCAACCGTGTGGTGGAACTTTCTGATCCGAATGAACAAATGACGTAGCATAGCCATGTTTTGTATCACTGGTTGATGGATTCCCATGGGCTCTCTGACGTCCATATAAAAACCATCACCATCTGGACTGCTTTCTTCTGCCTTACGAATGAGGGACGTTACAAGACTCAATCTCAACCTTCCAGATACCATAGTTTGAAGGAGAGTACAGTAACTATGGATTTCAAGGGACCCAAAGGAGCGTCTAGCACCAATGACGATTTGAAGCACACCATGTAATACTCACCAAAAGAACAAGATTAATGTGATGAAAACCAACCTGAAGCATGCCTGTCCAAATATGTGAGATATTTGTGATTTTCTTGCATGGAGACTGACAAAGTTGTACATTTTCTTCCTTGTAAGCCAGTAGGTCCCACAGAAGACTGTAAGCAAACTAAAGCAACTGTATGCGTGAAGTTACATAGTGTACCAGTGTTTATAAGTTCTGTATTGCACATATCAGTGGGGCCAGAATGATTTGTTTGGTCACATTTGATTCTTGCACAGCAATGGGGTATATTAAAAGTTATATTTACAGTGTAGGCATTTTAGAAGTATAGAAGTATGTGTTTTATTTTCAGGAATGTAATTATTTGTCAGGCGGCGTCTAATGGAATGCAGGCATAAATGGACATGTCCTGGTTATTATTTATTATTATGTTAATTTAAAAAAAGAAATCATTTGGATTTTGCTCTATATATATATATTTGAAACAGACTGAGATATATATATTGTACGAGAAGCTTGTTTATCTTTATTTTTTGCTTTCGCCCACATGGTTTGTAAAGGTTACATATTATTTAATTAAGTACAGTACACAATGGGCAAGCTTGGGAATATATGACAGTATGTTATATGACAGTTGTATTATCAGGAATATGGATATATATTTTGCTCTTACGCAACAATCCCCTTTTATTTGGGGATGGTGGGAAACTATTGCTCATCTATGAAGGAACAAATACTATGATGAATGTGAAGTTAAAGATTCAAAGTTACTTAAAAGTCAGTTTTCAGTTCACTTTCAGTAGCAACACCTAAATTATACCTAAAAGCTCTTATTTATTTATTCTTTGTTTATTTGGTTGGAGCAGTTTAATGTAGATCCAATGAATAAAAGATGCACTACTCTTGATCAAAACCAGTGTGTTTCTGTTAATGTTACTGACGGTTTTTATCAGTGTTGGGGGTAACGCATTACAAGTAATGTAAACAGAATAATTTTCTAAGTAACTGGTAAAGTAATGCATTACTTTCCAGTGGTTCTCAACCTGAGGACTGGAGCAAAGTAATACTTTTTTTTTAAATGTAAAACTTTAAAATTAGAATGAAACCAAAAAAATATAAAAATAAAATTGAATTTAAAATATAAGCAAAAACAAAAATTCTATATCAGTTATATTAAAATAACACTGCTTAAAAGTATTTAACATAATTAATTGTTAGTATTACTGATATTACTGAAATTATAATATTAAATGAATAATGAATATTTTTAAATCTAAAATTTTATTTAAAAAAAAAAAAAAGATCTTCGAATATTGTGCTGGAAGTTTGAGAGCCATTGATTGACAATAAGTGCTTTGCTTGAAACAGGCCACTCTTAAAGTGTGTGTGTGTGTGTGTGTGTGTGTGTGTGTGTGTGT